GTCGGCGAGGTAAGCCAAAGGTGGTGCATGCCAATAGGCTTTGGCATTATCACATTCCAGGTCATTTCAGTTGGAACAAAGTGAACAATGGAACAAATGACGCTGCTGAATACGTCACCTTAAAAAGTCACTGTCGAAGAAGAAACTACCCGGTTTTGATAAGGAAAACAGTGAAGCTGTTAATGAAGTTACTACCATTGATGTGACTGCTACTGATAATGGAACATTTCCTGATGGAGCAGATGAATCCCACGTAAAGCAGAAGCCAATGAGATGGAAACCAGTAGGAAAGAAGAAACGTTCTGTAAAATTAAGAGACTTTGTTGTGTTTTAATTTTGTGTTTGTAAATTCTGTTTGTAATTAAGTTATTGTTAATTATTTATTGGTTTAATGTAAGTGGCTATGGTTCAGGACGAACAATACTTAGGAAGGGGCAGTGTTACGACAGCAGAAGTCAGGTGACGCTGGTAACACGTGATGAATTTCTCAAATGATCATGAATTATCGGGGAAGACCGAGTTTGTTCAGGACGCCCTCTTTTTTAGTATATAAGCCTGTCGAGAAAAACCAGTGGGATCGGACAGATAGATAATTGAGTCCAGCTAACAGTAGGCACCGTAAATAGTGTGTGAATCACTGTGATTTATAGCATGTGTTATAAAGGTTGTTAAGTTTAAAGTGACTGCAAATTCTGTGTATTACTAAAAGTTTGTATCGAGAAAGAATAAACTGGTTTAGTCAAGAAAGGACTTGTATCGCTGATGTTCCTCGGAAATAATTTCTACTGGAAATTAACAAACAAGTAGAAATATAATATTTTTATATGGTGGTTACAAAGTTAGTCAAAGTGACCAAATGTGTATAGTGTTAGGTTCAGAAATAACAGATGAAATATAAAGTTTTACTGAAAAAAAGTTTGATAATTATTTAGGAGGTTTTAGAAATTACATGAATGAAATCTGACAATTTTCAGAAGAAAAAAAGTATTTTTAATCTTAACATGAAAATCACATGGAAGCACTGAACACTCTGGCACTGTATATTTACAGACAGATTTTTTGTAAAAATATTTAATTTAAAAAATCTGATTTTCTTGTTGTTAAAAGACTTGTAATATTTACTGAAAACGTGCCAAATTTTGTGAAGACACACAAAACATATTAAAAGATGATGGTTACATTGGGTTTGAAAGGTCAGTTGTTTTGACCGAGTGAGCCCATAACGAGAGGGTTAATGGACAGCATTTTTACAGACTTCATTGATGGTTTCTTTGTGTAATGTCATACTGTATGCTGGAAGATCATTATCAAATAAATCCAAATATAATTTGTCTTTCAAATGACCTAAACAGTTTTTATATGCTGTGTTCCCAGTAAATTAATTATCACATGGACAGCATATTCTTGCACATAACTAAGTATTGCAACTATTTCACATTGATTTACATATTTTCATTGGAATATTGACTCTGTTTCTTTCAAACTTATGTACTTTTTGGACTTGCACATTCTTAAACACTATTGCTTTAGTTATTGTGTGTTTGTATTTAAACTTATTGAGGTCCTTTGTAGCACATGACGGATGAGCCATTCATGTCTTCAAGGGGGTGACCCAATGCTAGCAGTGTGTTGCATACAAAACTTCATTTAGTAAAATGATAAACATATTGAATAATTTCACAACATGTAAGTGCTTCTATAAGTTGTTTTAATACTTAACTAATAAAATATATGTAACTAAAATATAATTTATTTTAAATCGTACCTCAGTTTGCAGTTTGGGAATGTCTCTGCCAGTGAGTCTATACAATATTTACAAGTAAGTATTATGTATCTATATTAAAAAGTTGAAAATAAGCTAAGATGTGTGGAGAATATTAACTTTAAGTATGGTATGTAACACATATTTGGTATATTTTGTTTCATTATTACCATAATGTTTGGGAAATTTAATATTTATTGAGTAAGAGTGGTCATGATTACAAATACAAATATACTTTTAAGTGGTTTATAGCAGACTGTAGATAATGGAAATTTATATATATATATATATATATATATATTATTTTTTTATGTGTAGATGAAATGATAGTTGAAACTTTTTGTTTATCATACACAGTTTTCAAAAGAAAAGTGAATAAAACTTGTAATTTTTTCAAGGAAAATTTAGTGTATATTGTATAGGTATAAGAGAAAGTACTTGAATGTTCTGACAAAACTGCACTGGTAGCATTAAGCTGTGGCTTCATATGAGTTTTTGTTAACATATCATATTTGGTTGGTGCTAAATTCAGTTTTTATCATGCTTTTTATTCATATAAACTTTTTAATTCTGTATTTTCAAAGTAGTTTGGTCTTAAAAGCTACAAGTGATTGAGGAAAGATATATGTAGTTGTTTGATGATTTTTCTGTTGGTTTGGTTTGCATGTTTAAACTGTTTTTATACATGTGAATATTTATAAATTTTTGTTGGTTTGGTGAAAGGTTATAAAGTAAGTAATTATTTGAGGGATTTATGATATTTATTTTCAGCAGTGCTACCCATCTCTCCACAGAGCTGACTGCTATTAACTCTTGCCATTGTCAAAAACATTTTGAACATGCCCCAAGCATTGAAATAAATTTCCAACCGTACATTAATATGTACTGTGCCAACCTACGATGTAATCATGATTAGACTGTAGCCCAGTAGGAGGGGGTCACATCCTCCAGGCACAGTAAACCCAATGAGCCCTCTTGTTTTAACCAAATTTCATTCCTTTCCTTGGCTCTGCTTTGTTCAGATGTTGCTGTTTTTTCATTTAGAATTACAGAATTTTTATGCTTTTTATTTTAAACATTAGTTACCATTTGTAGTACAGTCTTTCTTATGTTTATTTTCTTGATTATGAGAAAGAACGAAAAAAATTTAATCAATTAAGTTTGAACTTTTAATTCAGATTATATTAATTTGATTTCTCCCCTTAATCAGTTACAAACTTTTGGGACATATGTTCCAGAGTTTATGATGTGGTTTCTTTGACATTACCATTTCCCATTGTTTATTAATTCAGTGAACAGATTTTGTTAATTACTCATCAGTTTCATCAGACACTGACCACGGCACATGTATCATGAACATACCAGATCAAATTAAACAACAACAAAAAAACTAAAGAGTTTCATGGAATATCTGGATTACAAATTAAGATGTCCATATTTCTGACATCTCCCGATGTTCTAACACTCCTCAACAGGAGTTATATCCTACAATTATGACAACTAGGAACACTGTAATGGTCAAGGATGTTACCACCATTGTGCATAGGTGGTTGGTTCTATTCTAATTTTATATCTGGGATTCCTGACCTTCTGCTTCAGTTGAGCCTGCTCCATCTTCAGACAAATTTGGCCAACTGTGTTCACGATCTACATTTGCTTCTGGTTCCCTCTTCCCAACAAGGATTAGGTAATCCAACTTTTATCCTTCACTGCTTTGATTACACAGGTATGTGAAAGTTTTTTCTTGCTTCAGTTGTTTTTTGCAGAATCTTTGGCTACCTTGTTACAATTGAATCTCTTCTTTCAGCTAGGGAATTTATTCTTTAGTTGTCTCTTGCCCTCAGTCTGCTCATCTTCAGCTATTATTTGCCAAATGGCTTTGCTATGTGCTCATGCTTCATTTTCTTTCAGAGTCTTTACATTGCAATCCTGACAGCTTTATTAGGGATAACTGCACATACCTGTTCTCCACCTTGGTCTCAAGTTTCTTCTTCCACTGTGTCCCAATAACTTGGTTTCTGAGTTTATGTAGTCGAAAATGCCTTACTATCTGATCTCTCTCTTATTTCGAGGACCATTGTATTATGCCTTTCTTTCATGATGTTCCTTATATTTTAAGTCTAAAGCTGAGGTAGGTTATCTGCTGTCATCTTTTCTTACATTGGCTTCTTGCATTTCTCAGACCAGGAGGACCCACTAGGTTTCTAGCTTGTAAGATGATTTGTTGTTGTGGGTATTGGAGGTTACTTGCTTTTAGAGACACCTCTAAGCTTTGGTCCAGTGAGAACTCAGCTCTCACACTTTGCAAATCTGTGGACTGCTTTTACCAAAGACTATTGGGTTACACAGGGGCTTTCCTGCTTAGCGCCTACTATTGAGATGAGGTTCTTCATAAGAGTGCTTCAGCTGTGTGTATGTATGTATGTGTATATATATTACCTTCCAGTCTTTACTTCATTGGAAAAAAAAAGAAGACAGCTCCAGGTGTGATCTTGCTGTTCTTATTTGCAGTAACCTATTGCACAGTCTATCAGTGTGGGACCTGATGCAGATGTGATGTTTCATATTAAGTCTATAATCACCTCTTTAGTGTTCTCCCCCATGCCATTTTCTATCTCCTTTTTCTCCTAATGGGAAACTCCTCCTTCAAGGGAATACCATGGTATGAGACAGAGTAGATGTACTCTTTTGACTGAAAGTAGGGCTGGGTGTTATCTGGAAGTGTAGTACTGGGCACACCACTACACTATAAATTAAAACGTTCTTGGTGGTTAGGCCAGCTGGATGGGTTTTATGTTCCAGTCAGGATGCTAGATCTTGGATGTTACTTCCCTGCACCTCCTTATTTTAATACATTGGTATAGTCTGACTTATTGCCCTAAGGGGATGTATTATAATGTGCGGATAGTTATCAAACATTTCTTAAGACAAAACTTTATATTTTATCTGTTATATTCAGTAATTAATCTCGCAACCACCATAAAAAATTAGGAAATTAATATAAATTATGCCTCTTTTGTTCTAGAATGAACACAAAAACATAAATATTTAGACTATATAGCTTAAATCTCATAACATTATACATTTATATATTTTTATTATTTTTATTATATTGACCTTTCACCCATGCCTGGCTAACAATACAGAAGTTACAATGATGCGGCTCATGTGCACTCATATTACTGTATCAAATAACATAAAGGTGACCTTTGGTCTGTACAAAGTAACTTATCTTGGCTGTGTTTTAGTAGACTAGTATTTTGTAAAATACAGTCACGTATAATTGTTATACATCATACATGTATATTGATTATTGCTATTTTGAAGTAAGTTCTTAAAGTTAGTTTTCCTAGAATATAGAACAGTAAATAAAGAAGTAAAGCAAACAATTATCTCTTCTAGTTATGACCTTTGTACTCGGTTGTTGCTTGATGTAGATTGCTAAGCCTTTAAAAATTTTGCACGTGGAGGATACGAAACAAAAAATTTTTTTAGGTTTTATATATACTTTTGAAGAACTAAAAAATCATAAATTATTACATCAATACATAGAATTCTACTATAACTTATCAAACTTACTAACTAAGCTGTAGGTCTAAACAAATATGAAATTTCAAGCAGAATAGAAACACAACCTATCTCATTGAAATTTTGGTTTAAAACAAAGGAATGGTGCTAGGTACATTAAAAAGGCTCGGAAAACCACTAGGGGGACATTCTAAGTTTCAGATTGGTTATTCATGTTATATATAGAAGTAAGTGTATATAAGGGAGTGTTTCCAAAAATCGAAGGAGGTGAGCAGTGTGCCACTATGTATGATTTATTACGTGAGCAATATCTTAGCAAATAGAAAAGATAAGACCTTCTTATTTTATATTCTAGCTTATCAATATCTGTAATTTGAGTTTATAATTCGTATGAAACTATAGACTAAGTATTTTGACTTCACAAACATCTAATTTGAACCAGTGCTGCATTGAACATACCATGTGACACAGAAAAATCGATGTTTATCTGTGTTTTTTTTAAATATTTACTTTTAAGTTAAAAACTGAGTAATGTATAGTTCTAAAATTTGAATTATAATCTACAGTTTAATGCCAAAATTATTGACATAAATTCATGAAATATTAGTTCAATAAAATTTTGAATGCGAGTCCACAAAAGAGATGACCTGTCTCAAATCGGTTAACCCATCCATTATCTTATCAATTTAGGGTCCTAGCTAACAGTTCTGTGAAGAGGTGAGTATCTTTTCTGGAGCTAATATTTTACGTATATGAAAATGTATTTCAGATAGGTTCCTCTTCAGAGAATCTTCTACCCTTCCTCCCCATTTTCTGGTGGTGATGTGTTTTTTTTTTCCTCATCATGAATGAACCTTGTTGTAACGTGAGGGCTCATGGGGTTTACAGCACATGGAGGGTATTTTGCCCTCGTATTGGTGGAGGGCTGTGGAGGTTAGAATGGCACAGTAAATATTAATGTGTGTAGGGGTAAGAGTGTTATTGAAGACATGGCTTAGGTGCAAAAGTATTTTTCATGGCATAAGTTAATAACTATCAGTTCTGTGGAAAGATGAGTGTCTATCTGAAATACTTTAATAGGTAAGGAAACTTTTAACATTAGCTCTTGCTGATGTTTTTGATAAAGATGCTAAAATGTTTTTGTTGTTGTAAAGCCTGTTAGTTAAATAATCATATGTTTTTATTTTTTGAAATGCATGAAAGTGTTGAATGTTCAATTTTAAAGAGCACCACATTTCAAATGAGGTTGTGGCTATGCCCGTTTTTTTACATAATGTACATATATCTACATAATCAGCAGCTGACTGCATAATCACTCTATAATCAGAGCATGAGTTTCTAGAATAGTTAAGTCAAATCTAAGCCAATGTTACCAGATTCATAACTTTTTACTTTGTTTGTTTCTTGTTGTTTGAAAAGTGGTACCTTCAAAAATCCAAATGTGTGTTTGTTGTTCTTTTGTAAAAAGTAAGTGTTAAATTGCTGTTAATGATGGAATTGCATTAATCATGCTTAGAATTCTCTTAAATATTATTATTTTAAGCTGTTTTTAATTTAGTAAATGGTTGCATAATTCAAAATTCTGTATAATCAGCAGTTTTATGAATTTTATGATGCATAATTTTGAATTGTTGGCTTCATAAATATAGTTTTTTTTGCTGCATAAATATTGGGGCCTTGATTTCAGTGTACTTTGTATTTTCAGAGGCTATAAATCTAACATTCTCAAACATAAAACATTTTATGAAAGCATGTGTCCACTTTTTCCTGTTATGATTCTTTTCATCATAACTTCCCTATGGGCTGTCTTCTCTCCAAGTGATATAATGAATACAGATCCTCGAATTTTTTTCTGGATGGTTGGAACAGTATTTTCCAATATTTGTGTGAGTCAAAGCTTTAATTTTTGGTTTGTTGATGTAGTCTCATGTTTTATTAATTTTAGGGATTGAAATATTTTCATAAAACCATCTATAATGGGACTTTTTTTTTCAAGCTTATAAGGCTCAAACTAAATATTCTGCACCACAGCTCCTTATTTATACTATAATTATTGAAAAAATATATTTATGGTTATTTATACCAAAGGTCAAAAATATATGATTTGGAAATCTTATAACTTCAATAATATCTAGACTTACGTAATGTTTCATATCAAAACACGTGCAGACATTTGTATAAATATAAGTTATTTACAAGGTCTAAATATGTTGAAACCCTAAAATCAGTATATAAACAAGTCTAGCTTGGTCATACAGAAATATAAACTCTGGTCTAATACCAGTACTAGATGTGTTTTGACTTTGACATTTTGGTTTCTTAATTACTATAGTTTTTTCATTTGACTTTTTTTTTTATTGTTGAACTACACATTATTCGAAAATTCTTTTTGTCAGCAGTACCATTACATTTCCTGATCCAGATGTTTGTAGATATTTGAAGAATTACCAGCACTATGCTCAGATACTCTTTTATATTCTTCTCTAAATGATGCCTGGTTCATCTCTCATAATCTCATCCACACCGAGAACAAACATATCAATAAACAACATAGGAGCATTGCAGGTTATCAAGTCTGCCCTTTATCTTGAAAATGTTCTCAGTACTGATTTTAAGTCTATACTCAAGATATTTTATATTTTACTTTTCAACACACAACTTTCTTTAACCATTAATGGAAGACAAAAAAGGACAGTTTGGACACATCAGTACTCACTTTACTTAAAAAACATTTTAAGATATGTAAAGAAGTGAAATATGAAAACTATTCTTTACAAAGCATTTTTCACTTTACACTTTTTATTTCTTTATGAAAATAATAATAGTTACAGGAAATATTATAAGCTCTATTAAAATAAGTTATTTATCATATTATCATTATATTTAACAGGTATAGTAGATAAATGTTGACATAACTTTTCGATCCTTTATACATGTGTTTATTTATTTCAAAAGCATCATCAGTGTTATTAATATCTAATTCTAAAAAGTACAATTTTGCGTTGTTCTTTTTTTTCAACTGTAATATTAATACAAGAAAATCATTTATTTAGAAAATATAAGAATGAATTCACATGTCATTTTTTCCTTAAACATATCAAAAGTATTATCCGCATTCCTGTATCCTATGTTATAGGTTTAAATCTCTTTGGACAGATACTCACTCACTCACTGTTTTTCATTATATAAAAAAAAACTGATTTACTAGACTAGGTACTAATTCTGAGCCCATAGTAACAATAACTATTTGATCATAAATACTATTATTAAACTTAAAATGAGGGGGGGGGGTCTTATTATTTAGACTTTTTTTTACATCATGATTTTAAAAAACAGTATACAATTGTTAAACAGTAAACTAAAACCTCCTACTTCCAATAGACAAATTAAGAAAACTTGAATAATAATTTACATTTCATAAAACTTAAAACTAATATCTTCTTCTCAAGTATATTTCACATAACAAGATATCTTTATAAACAGTTCATAATCGCAAGCTCATTAGAGTCATCTTCAGGTGAAAATCATCAAAAAGTCGAGATATTTCAAATATGGCAAGTCTGTTTTAAACTTAAAGTCTCCTGAGGTGACAGCAGCAAGTCTATGGACTTATAATGCTAAAATTCGATGTTCATTTTCCCACAGTAGACACAGCAGATAGCCCAATGTGGCTTTTCTCTAAAACAAAAAAAATTACCAAATATAAACTTAAAAAAAGTTACAAGGCAATTTTATTATCCATGCCTTAGTTATTCCAGTAATCTTCAGGAAATATTTCAGGCCTGCTTGAATAGAATCTTGTAACCATATTAGCCACAAACACACAAACATTAGAATGAAAGGTACAATTTTAATAAGAAAACTTAATGAAAATCTGTTTAAAGGATGTACTAATAATCATGCTTCAAGAGGTGTGCATGTAACATGGCAGAGTCAGTTGATTGTGTAGCCAGTGGTTGGTGGCCTGTCTTATTTGATTGGCAAGATGACAATATATTGATGATATGAGTTTAGATTAAAATTTGTAATGGCTTACAAAATAGCTATCCTACTTAGAAAGCTCTGAAAGTCAATCTTAATTGATTTGATAAAAAGCAACAAATCTTGAAAGTTTTGCTAGTTAAAAACAAACTTAGTTTTTGATTAAAACTCAATAAGAAAAAGAACTGTCACACAGATCAAAGATGTGAGAAGACAAATTTCCCTGATTATTAATTGACATCCTATATATAAAATAAAAGTGAAAAATTAAGGCCGGGCATTATGTATGTAAGGATAGAAAGTGGCAGTTAATTGTACAGGGTATTACGTTGGTTTCAAGCTATCGTATTTGTATTAGGTACTTATTTATGTGCTATATGATAAATATCATACAGTTCACAGAGACTGCCTTTCAGCATGTTCTTATGAAATCCTGAAGATTGATAGCTTTTCTTCTATAACATGAGTGAACTGTTTCATGAAATTCAAAACCATATGTTTAATATATGTAAAAGGGAGCTGAACATTGTGGAGTAACACAATGTAGTGAAACTTGAAGGTGTCAAAGGAGTGTTCAGTATATTAAGTGTTTTATAAAATATTTTCATTTTAGATTCACACAAGATCCTAATATAAATCTGAATTAAAGTTTTGAAATGAGACAAAAAGTTAGACAGTTAGTAAGTAAAATCCAAACTGTGAGAATCTAAGTTATTAATAGTAGAAGAGTTGAAGTAATTAATTATTTATATTGGATTTTAAAAAAAATATATCTTGAACATTCTATAATGCTGCAGTTGTTAATACATAGCATACATTATGCTGTTATATTGTTAATGAACTTTGCTTTTAGTTAGTGATTTTAGTGAAGTTTGGATAATTATATATACATATTCTACAGTTGCAACTTAATATACTGTATGTATGATGGTTTATACAGTGTCGTCTCATCATCAGTCAAATGTCTATGACACGGTGTGAAGCTTTCAATTTCATGCTGTACCCAGTAGGGTTAACAATGGCACTAGTGTTTGGTGTTCCTGTCTTTGGCCAGAAAGAAAACCTTATTTTATGGATACTGACTGTGTTCTGCATTGTGGCCCATATCTATTATGCTGTTAGTGTGGTAGGTATAGAATTGTAACTGTTTTCCTTGTAAATGTATCTTATAAAATAACAAAATGTCATTACAAATACTTTTCCACAAGGTTATGTGAATTTCTAAATATTAATTGTTAAATATAGTTGAAAAACATATGTACCTTAAAACATAACAAATAAAATATTTTCTAATTTTTGTAGTTGTGAGTTAAAATTTAAATGAAATTTTTCAGTAATTAAAAATTTTCATTTTATACTTTCTACTTCAAAAGATCATCCACTGCATTTCCGTGTATGTGAAATGTTTAGTTTTACAAATCGAGAATTAGATTCACACTCAAGTTTGTTTGAGATTTTATCAATAAAAGAATTATGATAGTTTGTTTTTGTGATTTTTATGAATTTCATAAATACCTCTAATTTTCAGTGGAAACATCATTACATTGTTCGATACTACTACATAGAGACTATTGTAGCAAAAATGACTATCAATGTAAATCTTCAACACCTGAGTTTGGTGTCTTTAGTTTGTATATTTTCAACTAGGAGAGATGCATGTGTATGGTAATAGGTGATAAGATTAATTTTGAGTTGGCAGACACTTTCCAATATGGCATCTTACCTCCTCTCATGTATTAGCTTCTCTTGTTCAGTGCTGCCCTATATATAAACAAATTTCTTTTACTCTCCACTAGCCTTGAAACTCCTACCTACCCCATGTTCATTGTGGATCTATTGTGTCTTAGCATGTAAATAAGCATGCGTCAACCTTTCACATATAGATGTGCGACACGCTATCCTGATATTGGTTAATCCATCCATACTATTCAGCCTAACCTCCACTTCTCATTTAGGCACAGTCATGTTTGGATGTTACAAAATTTTGCTTGTGTTTTTATCATGGCATTTGATTTTTTTTTTGGCTTTGTTTCTTGAAGCTGTAAATTTTGTTATAGTCACTAAACATTTAAAATCTGGGTTTTTTTATTCATTATTTTTCATGGATTTACCACAGTTCAACCGTGAATTCAACATTTTGTATCACAAATACCACAATTGTGACTACAATTACTTTGTCTGTCATTTCTGAAGTTTCATGTTCTGCAAGTTTGGCTGAGGAGGTTCCACCTTAGTTCAATGAGAGATTGAACACTATATGAGACAGCCAGCTTATCTTGAACCTGGACAGGATCTTCCTTTTCTGAAGCAGAGTATATTTGACATCGAAGATTTAGAGTGCTTTATCCTCCACTATCCTATGCCATTCAATCCTGTGTGTCACCTGTGAATGCTGCCAGGCCTCCCTCAGATTTCACAGGTATGTTACATTTTGTCTAGGTCCTCGTAGACATTTGGATTTTTCTGCTTTGGCTTATCATCCTGCAGGCTTTTCCTTTCTAGACTCACAACTCTTGTAGTCTTTGATGCAAGTTTGGGGAGGCCAATTCTGATTCTCTAGTTAGGTTCTCACAGGCCCATTTTTCCAGACTGTGGCTGACCATAACCTCTATCCTTCAGTACATTTATCCACTACCTATCTGTGTGACCTCAGAAGGGCACAATTTTTCTATGGATATCATTTTGGAAATGTCTCTGAGTTCGTGGAGTTGCAGATGGAGTCTCCCTGACAACATATCACCATTTATTCTTTGGTTTCCAGGTTGTCTCAGCCATCACCTGCCCCTGCTCCCACTCCTTTTTTCATACCACACCTTCTCAACTTTTAGCTGTTCCTCTCCTAGGTTTGGATGGGAAGTTGTCATATTTCCCACTGCAGAAACACACGCTGCCAATTTTACTGGTGACAACCAGGTTGGATCTGGCAGGGCAGGTGCTTGCCTGATCAGATTTATTCACATTTGTCATAAGTTCACTTCCAATCCTTGGATTCTTCAGGTGCTGTCTGAGTGCTTCTTCATTCACTTCCTTACCCCCAATCCATTGTCAACACATCCTATTCCCCCTCCTGGATCCCATATCTCTCAGAAACAGTCCAGACTCTTCTTCTCAAGGAAGCTATTGAACCAGTCAGTCAAATCTCTCCAGGTTTTTACTCCAGGCTGTTGGTAGTTCCCAAACAGACCAGTTATTGGTGTCTAGTGATAGATTTGTCTCAGTTGAACCATTTCATAGACCTTCCTCATTTCACCATGGTTTTTTTTCTCACTCTTTGGTGGGCTTTCACTCCAGGTTTGTGGGTGACCAAGGTGGATGTTTCAGATGCATACCACCACATCACTATTGCCCCACTTTCCAGACAGTGCCTTTGGTTGTCCACTAGGGTCAGGTTTACCAGTTTTGTGTGCTGCCCTTTGGCTGGCCACAGCACCTTATGTGTTTTGTCAAATGTTCGGGGCTATAATTTGACTACTCCATGCCTAGGTCTTGCATTTTCATCATTCGATGGATGACTGGCTCCATATGAACTGGTAGCACACAAATAAACACAGTTGTTTCTGAAAGAAGTGTATCCATGTGCAACTTGTGTAGTTAGATCATCAAGATGGAGAAATCCTTTTCATCTACCCAACACTATGGTCAAATGAGTTTTTCAGTCATCAAGGCTGTTACTCACTGCTTGTTAGGTTCTTTCTGTTTTGGGAAAGTTGACTTTTATATAAAAGCTCTTATATCATTAGGTTGTGCTCATATATGCACCTTTCAATGAATGCTGCATGACCAATGGAACCTTGTCAGGGATCCCTTGGACTTCATTATTCATTTCCCACTTTCCCTCCTAATCATTTTCACATGGTTTCTAAACAGAGACAACATCACAGTGGGTGTTCCTCTTCCACCTCCTCGTCCCTAGTTGCACTTGTTCACAGATGCTTCACTCATGGGTTTGGGAGGACGTGTTTGGAGCATGAGGAGGTTTCATTCCATTGGTCTCCTGTTGAGATGACCTAGCATATCAACATCTTGGAATTATTGGCCATCCTTCAGGCTTTGGATCCATACCAACACTTCATTAGTTATCTCACATCAATCAACAGGGTGGCACCCATTGACATTTGCTCTGTTTCAGAATGCTAGAACTACTCATTTTTGTCCAGGCTTTTCAAACATGCCTCACTGGTGTTCATGTACTGGGTGCATTCAACCTGGTTGCAGATCATCTTTCTTGTCCTGAACATGTCCTTCCCATGAAGTGGTCCCTAGAACCTTAGGTTTTCTGGTGGCTCTGCACACAATGGGGTCCTCCCCATTTGGATGCTTTTACTACACGTATCACCATCAAATTACTCCTGTTCTTGTCCCCAGTACATCATACCCTAGCTTTGGCTGTAGATGCTCTCCATCTGAACTGGACCAACCTGTACCTATATGCCTACCCACTGATATGTCTCCAACCTAGGATGATTTCCATCATCTATTCCACTTCATATTGAGTGCTTCTGATACACCTTTATGGCTGGCACAGCCCTGTTTCCTGATTCTCATCCTCCTCTTAACAACACCTTCATTACTTTCTTCTCTTTTGCCATCCTTCATCCATCAATCTATGTTGCTGGTTCTTGTTTGTGCACTTCCCACACTCCATCTTTATGAATACTTAGTTTGTTCTCCACACACTTACCTGTCCTCACTTTGTACCCTTGGTCACCTGTTCCCTCTGCCATTTATATCTTTCATCCTCTTTCCTACTTCTTTTGCCCTGTGGTCATCGGAAGTCGGACATCTTCACCATTGAGGTTTCATGTACTGTCACACCTATGTTTTCCTTTATCCAAGTCATAGCTTTCTTCCCAAGACATCTGCAGCTTGTGAGGGCAAATCTTTTTTTACACAGTTTCTCTCCCTTCCTTCTTCCCATTTTACTCTTGTGCAGATTGGGATAGATTTTATGTCCTATTCATGCTCTCCATTGCTGTATTGCCAGCTTCCTTCCATGGTTTACATTCCAGATTATTCATTCCCTGGAACCCCTCCTCTCAATGAAACCTTTCTTCTTCTATCCTTAATGCTTGGATTCATCTACTTATCTAGTTTGCATTTACATCTTTTTCTCCCAATTCCCAACATCTCTTCCAGTTGTCATCTCACCAGATTCGACATCTTACTTTTTCTCTGGTTACTCATTGCATTGTCTTTTGGAGGAGATCATCCAATGTGGCGTGTGAACTATTTCTAACATTTTCATCTCCCACTACCTACATCATGTGGTCATTTCTTTTTCTTCTGGATATTGCATTCCATCTGTTGCCATTCTCCATACAATGGTTCAACTGTGTATTGGAAAGTTTACTTTTCTCTATATCCTATAGGGTCATGTCCCTTATAGGTAGTAGATCCCACTCAGTGATGAGTGGTGCCTGTGCTCCAATTAATTTTTGCCCATTTAACCAACATATACTACCTCACTGGGCAAAGAGTATATATATGATACAGATGTGGTTTGGTCTCCCACAGATGAGTTCCTCTCTCAAGAGAGGTTACACTACTCGGATTTTTTTTGGATGCTTTCCAAAGGGTGCTCTTTTCAGGAACTCTTACACTGGTCCCTCCACCAGTGTGGGATTCTAGCTATTATATGAGAGGAGGTAAGATACCATATCAGAAGTTAACATTTTCTTACACCAAAAATGTATTTCCTCCCAACTTCTGGTGCTTCTTTTGTGCATAATCTTGAAGTGAAGGCTGCATCATGAGAGTGTGTCACACTCATATTTGTAGAGGATTGCCACATGCTTATTTGTATGAGAAAATGCAATAGAACCACATTGAATATGGAGTAGGTGGGAATTTTAAGGTTAGTGGCGAGCCAAAAAAAATTTGTGCATATAGAGGGCAGCAATGAAAGAGAGAAGCTGTTATGTAAGAAGAGGTAACTATCTACTGAAAATACATTTTCAGTGTAGGAAAATGTTAACTTTTGTTTTTGTATCTCCTCTTTAATACGCCCCCAAATGGCACAGTGGTATGTCTATGGACTTACAATGCTAGAAACTGGGTTTCAATACCCGTGGTGGGCAGAGCACAGATAGCCCATTGTGTAGCTTTGTGCATAAATTCAAACAAACAAACCTCTTTAATAACATAAATTCATGAAAGGAAATGCTAAGATAGGCTTAACTGGTAGTGTATCAGCATATTCGTAATATTTTTAAATAAAAGTTTTACTAAATGAATTTAAAGCAAATCAAAATGTTGCTTTTAACCTCTTTCCAAGTAAGTATTAACAACATATGCTTTGTGTAGTTCTTTGCTTCATCCCAAGTTTTCATTAATGCACTAATGTTTCTCCAGTCTCATGGTTTTAATATTATTTTCTTAAAATGTACATGCAATTAACCCTTTTACATTATACATTTAACATTATAATGTATGTTATTATTTATGTTATCTAAGTTTTAAGTCCTTTATTTCAAATAAAACCTTTAAAAAGACTTCTTAAAACTTTGGATGTATTGTCACATGACCAATGAGCTGTGAAAATTCTCTACTTTGGCTCTCTGTATCTTCAATAATACAATAGCAGTTGTGTAGTTGTACATCTAGTCTATAAGATGCTTACATAACCTTTTCACTTTTCAAAGTTTTCTCAATGAATGCAGTTGAAACAAGTAGTAGATTTTGTCAACCCCTGACAGTTGCCACACCCACCTTCAACAGATTTGTTTGAGCTTTATAACCTACATGTGGAGCTTACATATGCATGTGTATAGTCATTAGAAAGAGCTAATTTTGCATTATAATCTAACAATCATTATTTTGAAATTGGTGTGCAGTTGTCATCACGAAGTACATGTAACTACTGTAGTATTGTTGGCTGCTTGATTGACTATAGCATTTACAGTTGTTTCTTACCTAAATATGTTATAGTTAGAGATACAGTTTAAATTGTATTTAGGTCTTACTTTTATATTTTAGTTAATTATGTATTATTTATGTTTTAAAATGCATAGTTGAAAGGTTTAAACATTTTTTAAATATACATCATACATTGTGTCAGTTCTCAAGGCTTACAAAAATATTACGAGGTGCATGACAATTTTCCTGAAGGGTTGCACTTGTCTACCAGAGACACTGTAATATGTCTTGAGGGCACCATTGACTTGTATCGAGATGAATAATAAATGATAAAGGACAAGAAAGGAAATTAAACATTAAAAATTACTTTTACGTAAAAAGTAAAAGACCTGAAATTATGAATTTAACAAAAGGAAAATCTTTAAATATATTCTACAAACACTTAAAATGTATGTATATTTTTTCCATTTCCTAATTTATTTATTTCATGGCATTTGACATTGATGGTAAAGAAAATGGAAAATAAACTATAAATATTTACCTTAAAAACCTTTTGAAATTCATTTAGGAGGTTCTAGAGATTATGCAAATGAAATATGAAAACTGAGGTGAAGAAAAGTATTTTTATACTTAAAATTAAATTCACCTTGCACTCAAGCTACTTTAACAGTGCAAATAACTACTACTAACTGCTAATAATTTACATTATGATTGGCTGTCATTGAACCAATCAGACCATGTCACACCACTATAATGTCTAAAGTTACAGGGAGTTGTATTATAACCTAACAATAGTGTGATGAATGCACTTGTGCCTTTCTTGACAGAAATTTCACATTCAAACATACAGAAATCAGAGTTTTGGCTGGTGGATGCACAAACCCACATAATTCACATGCATTTGAGACCATATCAAACTGAATAATGCTCTTAACCAAACATTTGACAAAACTTATGAAATATTCATTATTAACTTTCATAATGACAAATTACTTGAGGTTTTAATTTTGTTGACTAGTTATGATGATGCTCAAACCATGAAGGTATTACTGTTGTTAATTTAAAAATCTGTCATATTTTGTTATTTCTATAGGTACAAGAGATGTGCCAACATTTTGAAATCAGCTGTTTTTCCTTGAAGAAAACATCAAAAGATTGATAACTTGTAGAAATTATAAACAGATTTCTGTGACCAGTCTTCATGTTCAAAGTTAATGTGCTTTCATAATTAACTGTTAGTGTGCTATGATTCCTGCCTATTTAAATATGCACTTCTTTGACTACTTACTACACCCTTTTCAAAACATATATTTGGCTACAACATGAACCATTGTGCTTGTAAGAGAACTGTTTTTTTATGCTAACTATTTTTGGTTAACTTAATAACATTGTATCAAGTAAGATGTCTTTGGTATATAACCTGTGGACCCTTTTATTATTACTGTTATTATCACTATGGTAGCTTAATCAGCATAAAACGTTTTTTAGAATTAAATAAAATTAGGTGTGTGTTGGTTTGAACCATCAATATATTGAAAGATTGACATTTTGGTCAACATGTTAAACAATTGTAGTTTAATCATTAAACATTTCATATTTTCTTCAGTTTGACAGACAATAGATGTAAGGTGTTTGTCTTGTTTCTTAGTTACTAGATCAATTAGTTCATTTTCTGATTTTTCTTGTCACTGAGTGTAATATCTGCTGATATTACTTAAAACTGGAGACTTCAGATGATTGTATTATTGGTAGTATTATGTAAATTAGATATCAGAAAGTGAACTTAATTTTGGAGCTTTAAATAAACCTATTACCTATCACTGTATTATTCATTACTTTTTGCTTTTCTGCCTATGCTCTTTTAACTTATCTGTTTTCTTTAATCCTACCACAACTTGTGAGCACCTTTCAGGTGTTGAGTTCACACCCACATATCAAATTTCAAACTTTAAGTAAAAAATAATTCCAAATCTATTCCAACAGTTTTTCTCAGAAATACTTTAGAATTTATCTTTTGCTATTTTGTAATATTTATTTTGTGTAATTTTCAAATAAGAATGAAAAACAAATCCAGACTTTCAAGTATGTTTACATCTGAACTCTGATGACTCTCTCCAGTAGTTAATCTACTTGTTGATTTTCAGAATTTTTCTTCCAATCCAAAAGCATAGGTTTATATTTGCTAACAAATTATCATTCTTTAAGATATTAATTATCCATGTCTTGTTTTTCATGTTTTTCCATTCTCTTTTAGTGGATTTCTTACTACATCCTTTTTTCTTACCCTTTTATGATATCACAGCATTTGGTCTGAACAATTAACAATGAAAGACAACTTTGAAAATAGATATATATATATATAACATTTGAATGTGATTGGATAGAGAAAATTATGTACTACACATATTAATATAGAATAAAGTGGTATGACCAGTAATTTTTGGTTTTTTGGAAAAGTGACTACCTAGGAATCTCGTGGGAAATTTACAAGAGTTAGAAACAAATCACAGACCAGGGAGTTTTTTTGTTTATAGTTTACTTAGACAGTAATTTCATTTCTGAAAAAGTTTTCATCCTAAATTACATCTTTTTGAAAGCTATGAAAAGTTCCTTCTATGACAAGATATTAGGTAAGGAACTTAGGTTTAGAGAATATGGCAATAGCAAAACATACAAGTTATTCAAATCCTTATTTATTGCCAGGTTTATTGGTTATTAAGTAATACAAAAAATAGAAGTACTTATTATTTATTGAAATAAAACTATATTTTTTAGATATAAATTGATCTCAACCAAGAATACTGTTAGAAAAAATATCATTACCTAGCCTGACAAAGATAATGATGATCCACTATCAAAGGTCAGGTCCTTGGTGACTGATAAATTGTTGTTAATATCATTACCTAGCCTGACAAAGGTAATGATGATCCACTATCAAAGGTGAGGTCCTTGGTCACTGATAAATCATTGTTAATATCATTACCTAGCCTGACAAAGGTAATGATAATCCACGATCAAAGGTCAGGTCCTTGGTCACTGATAAATCATTGTTAATATCATTACCTAGCCTGACAAAGGTAATGATGATCCACTATCAAAGGTCAGATCCTTGTCACTTATAAATCGTTGTCAATTTTTACTGTGTATTTTACTGTTTATTTGTAGAAGTGATTACTGCAGTTGGTAGAATAAAGTATAAAAAAATATAGTAATGAACACCAGTCAAATTGAGTCTGCCAGTGGTACAATGGTAAGTCTACAGATTTATAAGGCTAAAATCAGGGGCTTGATTCCCCTTGATGGATACAACAGATGGCCCAATGTGGCTTTTCTATAAAAAACACACACACATCAATCAAATTGAAACTGAGTAGATGTATAAAATGGGACTTTCTGATCAACAATAAAAAATATAATTATATGATGAAAAAGAAGTATTTTAATCTGTTTTAAAAACAGTGTCTCACAACAAGATTTTAAACAAGTTATAAAAACTGAATCAGATTTTATGATTTCTTTAAAAGCCAAAGCTAGATAGTATTTAGTTAAACTGTAATAAGATTCATGCAGTCTTGTTAAGTACTTACACTGTCAAAGGAAATGTTTAGTGGGATATTAGTGTCTGAAGTGTTTAGGGTTGAGCTACTGAGAGCAATGAAATAAAAATAGTTTCCTTTAATAGTCACAACTTACATATTTTATCATAGTTTAAATGACTTCACTCTTCTTAAGGAATTAAAATATTATTGACAAGACTTTATTGAATATCTTGTCAGATTCATTTTCTAGTCAATTTCTCTTTTCATGTATCAAAACTTGAAGCTTAAGCAAATATAAATTTCTATGACTGAAATTGTTGTTGTTGTATTCTTTTGACATAATAATTGTTTTCCTTCCTTTCTATGTTATGCATGTATCACATGTGTAGTCCTTAGAGTTTTATTCTATCAGTTTTTTAGATTTTACACATTCATTTCAGGTCTTCTGTGTTCAAATAAAAAATATTTTCATGCCACAAACTAACAAATGCATTTTCTTTTAATATTTAAAAAAATGAGTGAAATTGACAAATTATTTATTATAAGAAAGAAAGAAGAAACATACTCAAAAACTATGATGTAATCAAAATTTTATTTCAAGTGTTTTAACTTTAAGTACACCTTTCTTAGAATGAAATTGAAAAATATTAATCTTTTTTCTTTTATGTATCAGCAAAACATGGAATATTAAATTACACCTCTATATTCTGTGAATTTCAGAGTTAATTACTTTAACATGCTTGTCTACATTGGTATAAAGAATAGTGTATGTTAATGCTAGAATATGTACGTAACAAAATATACACAATTGCATAGTAGGGTTCCTAAGGACTCTATTATGTTACACAGAAAATGAGAGACAAAAATAAGCTACTTGCTATAAACATAGTGTATTTATTAAACTTAAATTTAAATAGCAGACAAAAACCACTTAGGTATACAAGAATATGTTTGACTATTGGCTTGTGTTTATATATAGTCAAGTAAAGCTGATGGAATACAACAACCAAGTAGCTAAAGAAACAGATAACTAAGAAAAAAGCTAGTAGCTAAGTCCCCTTCTGTGCATTCTGGAGTTAAAGTAGACACCATGTTACATTTGATATAGGGGTTATATTTCAGCAGTTACATACCTGAATACTATTATATGGTACAAAGTTAACATCGTGGTGCTTGATGTCTGAAAGAAGTGAACAAAATGAAATACAAATTGGATATTAACTAGGAAATGTGGTGCATGATATGAAAAAATCTGTATTGAGCTTGCATATTACTGCATGCGATGAAATGGTGCAAGTTAATGCAAACAACATGGTATGACTACATGTATATGGTGTGGAAAGGCAGATAATAAAGTGGGTAACATGTTGCAAAGTGCAAGGGTAAATGTCATATTAGACATTAGATAGTATGCTATGGTGAGATGCATATTGATTGTATGGTATATAGAAATGGTAGTGTATATACTTAGTTATTGCATTGGTGTAGTCTATAAGATATTAATCCTTGAAATACAGTTGTAAAGGGTAATGGATTTGAAAAGAATCTCTAAACTAGTATTTTAGGCATATACCTCTGGAAAGTTGACATAGGGGTTTTTGAAGATATTTCTGCCAATATTTGTTTTAATCGTAGTACCTTGATCTATGTCTTTTATAAAAGTTTGTTTTTGTAAAACTAAGTTTAATGGCATTACTTTTGGCAAAGTTATTATCTGTGTAAAATAGCCACCTGCTACATCATCTTTGAAAATATTTAGTTTAAATTTGTGATGCAGAATAAGTTAAATTGCTTTAATCTTATTTTATTAGTTAACAGTAATATAATAAATCACTGACTTCAGAATCTTCCATTTTAACTGTCCAAGATTCTATTATATAAATCAGTTTTAAGTTATTCTAATGTTATCAGTGCACTTACTGTTTTATCTTTACTCTGTCATCATGCTATAAATAATTACTTAAATTTGTGTTTCAACCTGTTATGGTTTTGATTATCTTTATCTTTAATCTCAACATGTGTTAACCATTGATACTGGTACTGTGTTAATCTCAACATGTGTTAACCATTGATACTGGTACTGTGTTAATTTAACATGTGTTAACCATTGATACTGGTACTGTGTTAATCTCAACATGTGTTAACCATTGATACTGGTACTGTGTTAATCTCAACATGTGTTAACCATTGATACTGGTACTGTGTTAATCTCAACATGTGTTAACCATTGATACTGGTACTGTGTTAATCTCAACATGTGTTAACCATTGATACTGGTACTGTGTTAATCTCAACATGTGTTAACCATTGATACCGGTACTGTGTTAATCACAACATACTGTTTGTGTCAACCGGTGATACTGCTACTGAGTTCAGTGTGATGTTAGGACTTTTTTCATGCTATCATTTATTTCACTATTCTAACTTTAACATGTCAGTGTACAGTAACTAACTTTAGAAAGTTTTATACTTAGATTTTCATCATGCTTTCACATGTTTCATATATAATCTGTTACTCGCATTAGAAAATCTTTTTAAACTTAATACTGTCATGTTGTTTGTTACTTTATCCCAATTGGAGATGATGCTATGTTGAATTGACAATTTGCTACCTCTACACATTTAAAAGAACACTTGAAACCTGAATTTTGTGAATTTTAAACTATTTTATTTCTCTTGTTCTAAGGATAATGATGGTGTGCCTACTAGCTTAGACTTGAGAATTTTATGCTGTTAATTATAAAACTTTTTATTCAAAGTTTGAAACCAATACATTAATCAGTTATCTGTTCAGTGTCTTTTCAAAATGTAAGTGCTTTTGTTGAACATACTACCAGTTACATCAGATCAATATTAATTTTAACCTTTCATGCTGTCATTGTAACTTTACTGTTTAATCTGTAACTACTTGTCATGTTGTAACTAGCTTCAGAGCATTTGTGTTTAATGTTAACCTTTGTTTTACTATAAAACTGACTTTAAAGTGATTTAATTTGTCAGATATTGTATTTTTCAATTGTTAAGAATTTGTACATGCATTGGTAATAACTATTAATAAAGCTTGACAATAATTTTCATTTTTGATAACTTTGTGTAAAATTACACATTTGTCCCAAATTTTATTTTTGTAATTGATTATGCATATTAGATGTTTTCAAAATTTTTTATTTAAGTGTACAAAAATTATTTGTACAATATCTCTAACGATGACACATTTAAAAAAATTGCTTTTTTTAATTATATAGCCTTTCACGCAATTTATTCACACCACTACCTTACTTGGAAAAAGTATCAATTGTCTTAGGAAACAGAATATATATTAATCCCTTGTGTCTAATTCTTGGGGCCATATGGGCATACTTTAATAAGGGTTATTCACACTTAATACAGTGATCAATTAAAGGCCTTTCTTTAATAACATAAAATCAAATATAAAATTCTTGGTTGCAAAGGGGTTAAAGACATGTACATACACATAGCTATGATCTTTAAGAATTGTGTTTTTAGTTAATAACAACCTTCTCAAGTACATTAATGATATATTTAAGATGATTACATTTTCATGTAGCTAGAGAGAGATCACTGCTGTTTTTAACATAATTTCTTTTCTATAGGTCCAGGATTAAATTTCATAAATTGTGTTTTAATTCTTCTCAATTCAGTAGTTCTTTAACTTGAAGTAAGTAAAAAGTACAAGAACATATAATCAGTATTTCAAGTGTTTTAAATCAGTAAAAAATTAATAACTGGGCTCACTACTCTACCTGAAACATGGGTTCACTATTGCACTGCTCTATTCGTGCATACTGAAAGTAACATAAAATGACAAATTTTACAAAAATGTGTATCATTTTTATGATGCAAAATAACACGTACTCTTCCAAGATGGCCTAAAATGATTAGTTAAATGTACACAGTATTGGTCCATTCGACCAACCCCCTATTGTAAAAGAGATACTGATTGTAATCCAAATTTACTACGTATATCTACATGAAAAGTGGCAAGCCCTTAGTAAAATGTATTGTACACAAAAAATCAGATTCACTACAAAAATATTTGTACTCAAGATATGTCTTTGAATTGATGATGTAATTGTTGCTCACTCTGACAGATTGGAGTGAAAGGTGATGTTCGTGTGAAGAATAAAAATATTTTTGTACATTGTATAGTTTGTATATTGTGTCTAGTATTTACTCTCCTCTACCGTGAACTGTTGTTAAATCAGGAATGTAGGGTAAAATGAATAGTTTATAACTCTATCATCAAATACATAATAACATGTTGAATGACACGCTATTAAAAGAGCTTGGCACATGCACTTTGGGCCCAGCCCATCCAAGCACAAAGGAATGTAGGGTTACTCATACATGTAGTTTTTGCCTTGATGGATTCATGGATGCCTACATCATAAGACTAGTGCTTGGCATTGTAGTGCTCTAGTAACTATTTTGTAAAAATCACTTTGATCTTTAACAATCCTTGAATGCTTATTCTGACACTATTCATTTTGCTTCCATTGGACTTCTGAATCCTTAAAATGTTAAAAAAGAAGTCTTGGGTATTGGTGACTTATTTTTAGTGTCCTTTTTATTTTTTGACAATTTTTGGGTCAAAAATGGAATATTAAGCTGGGTATTCAGCATTTTCAGAATCAAAAAGTTAAAATTGTTTAAAAACCACTACATACAATATCCTATTCAAAGATGCTTTATCAAATGAGATTTCCTGGAAATGAGACAAACTACATCAAGTTTATTGTGATGTTCATGAAGGAAACAAATTTCAATAATAAGATTAATCTTTAACTGTAATAGACAGTCACTGAGAATGTACATTCAAGCTAAATAAAATAAATTATGTGTGAAAATTTCTTCAATAACCTATCAGTGAAATCAAGATCAAGTGGAAAAAGTTTAGGGTTTATTATTGTAAGTATTCTTTGTTTTAATAGTTAGTAGCCTATATGATCACCTAAGTCTAATTTACAGGTAGTTACGAAAATTTTTAAATTTCTTATCAGTTGATATCACAATTTTTGTCTTTTAATCTACAGCTGTTTCCAGGAAACTTCTGAGATCATATGTTCAATCCTAAATTTCCTTGTTTGGAAAGCAGGTATACTATCCTGTTTTTCAGGTACTTTCTCTCTTTGGAATTTGAACAGGGTATTTATGTTTTTGTACCATCTATGTTAGATTGAATGAGTGTGTTTTCAGTTGGTTGTATGTAGGAGGTATTTTGTTTTTCTTTTTGTATGATTCCTATATGTTACTTCACCATTATTCATTTCAGTGACGTGATGGCTTATTGCAGATAGAATAGTGTTACAGAGTCTTGTATGTCTATAGTGCTCCAGAGGTCTGGCTATAGGTAATCTTTGTTTATATTAGATGTTGCAAATTACATTTTGATATCCATTGTGTTTATAAGTTTCTTGCTGTGTACTAACTGAGATTGTATTTTCTTGTGGCTTCTGAAAACTTCTGAATTCATCCTGTTTATAAATTTTCATTATG